ACACGTTTAGTGCAGACCGTCTTGAAACATCACTGATAAGCGGCATTTTCAAGGGTATATGACTAGTATTAATGAAAACAAAACACGTAGATCAGCGAAGAGTCTCTTTTCGGCGAATTCATTTTCTTAGCTGTACAATCGCAAATATATATGCATTGTTTTGTATGTATGTGTACATTAAGTTTGTCAAACAAAGTTACAATTGGTTAAGGTTACTTTTAACTAAACAAGTGGAGGATGGTAATATAGGTCAAGAAAATTAAGTGCTAATGAAACTAGGGTAGTAAAAAAATGATGAGTTGTCACAAACAGTTGTAATAATAATAGTGAGTTTTACTCAGGATGCACATAGAAACAAAGTAGATAATGCGAAACTATGTAAGAGATCTAAGTGGATACAAGAATTATAATTGCTTAAGGTTATTTTAACTAAACAGGTAAAGGTTGGTAATATAAGTCAAGACCATTAAGTGCTAGGGTAGTAACAAAGGTGATGAGTTGTCACAAACAGTTGTTAAAAGAAGTTATGCAATAATAATATGAATAGTTTGATGAGTGAGTTTTACTCAGGATGCACATAGAAACAAAGTAGATAATACGAAACTATGTAAGAGATTTAAGTGAATACAAGAATTATAAGCAATTAAGGAGCAGGCGAAGAAACAAAATTAAGTCATCAAAATAAAAATAAAAGCTCAAAACAAATCAAAACATTGTTACCATGAGAGTAGAAGTGGTTGAGTAATCTTCTTTTGTATGCACAGCTCCGGTTTTTCCATGTGAATGGCCAGAGCTTCAGCGATGCAAAGGAGACGAAACCGTATTGCCTTTGATATGTTATTCTTGACTCTGTAGATTACTTTGAAGGAGGCGTTCGTTGAAATGCAATGATCAGTGTTGACCAGGTGTTCAATTATCGCACTCCTTATTGCACCAGTATTGCCTTTTCGCAACCATGCTGGATAATGTTCTTGAATTCTCTTGGACAGGATGCGCGTCGAACGACCGATGTACCTGGCTCCACAGCAGCAGGTGAACTGGTATATGCACATAGAAGTGGCCAGATGCGGGATCTTGTCCTTGAGGCTTCTGCAGATCAGTGGGCGACTGGAGAACACTATTCGTAGCGTTGCTGCAAAGAACGTTCTTCTCAGAGATGATGTGATCCTTCTCTTGAGAATATCGCTTGCTAAATCTCCCTTGAAATCCAAATTCATGTAGATTTTCTTTTTAGGCACAGTTAAAGTTTCGTTTTTCCGAATTATTGGTTTCATATTTTTGTCGATAAATCTTATTGGGTATCCATTTTGGATGAATATTTCTCTCAGAATATCTAATTCTGTTTCCAGAACGTCGGGACTACAGATGCGTCGGATGCGGGTAGCAAGTGATTTAATTAAGTTTCGCTTTTGTTGAATGGGCACCCAGCTATAGAAGCTTGTTAGTTGCTGGGTGCCCATTCAACAAAAGCGAAACTTAATTAAATCACTTGCTACCCGCATCCGACGCATCTGTAGTCCCGACGTTCTGGAAACAGAATTAGATATTCTGAGAGAAATATTCATCCAAAATGGATACCCAATAAGATTTATCGACAAAAATATGAAACCAATAATTCGGAAAAACGAAACTTTAACTGTGCCTAAAAAGAAAATCTACATGAATTTGGATTTCAAGGGAGATTTAGCAAGCGATATTCTCAAGAGAAGGATCACATCATCTCTGAGAAGAACGTTCTTTGCAGCAACGCTACGAATAGTGTTCTCCAGTCGCCCACTGATCTGCAGAAGCCTCAAGGACAAGATCCCGCATCTGGCCACTTCTATGTGCATATACCAGTTCACCTGCTGCTGTGGAGCCAGGTACATCGGTCGTTCGACGCGCATCCTGTCCAAGAGAATTCAAGAACATTATCCAGCATGGTTGCGAAAAGGCAATACTGGTGCAATAAGGAGTGCGATAATTGAACACCTGGTCAACACTGATCATTGCATTTCAACGAACGCCTCCTTCAAAGTAATCTACAGAGTCAAGAATAACATATCAAAGGCAATACGGTTTCGTCTCCTTTGCATCGCTGAAGCTCTGGCCATTCACATGGAAAAACCGGAGCTGTGCATACAAAAGAAGATTACTCAACCACTTCTACTCTCATGGTAACAATGTTTTGATTTGTTTTGAGCTTTTATTTTTATTTTGATGACTTAATTTTGTTTCTTCGCCTGCTCCTTAATTGCTTATAATTCTTGTATTCACTTAAATCTCTTACATAGTTTCGTATTATCTACTTTGTTTCTATGTGCATCCTGAGTAAAACTCACTCATCAAACTATTCATATTATTATTGCATAACTTCTTTTAACAACTGTTTGTGACAACTCATCACCTTTGTTACTACCCTAGCACTTAATGGTCTTGACTTATATTACCAACCTTTACCTGTTTAGTTAAAATAACCTTAAGCAATTATAATTCTTGTATCCACTTAGATCTCTTACATAGTTTCGCATTATCTACTTTGTTTCTATGTGCATCCTGAGTAAAACTCACTATTATTATTACAACTGTTTGTGACAACTCATCATTTTTTTACTACCCTAGTTTCATTAGCACTTAATTTTCTTGACCTATATTACCATCCTCCACTTGTTTAGTTAAAAGTAACCTTAACCAATTGTAACTTTGTTTGACAAACTTAATGTACACATACATACAAAACAATGCATATATATTTGCGATTGTACAGCTAAGAAAATGAATTCGCCGAAAAGAGACTCTTCGCTGATCTACGTGTTTTGTTTTCATTAATGCCTGGATGGGGATTATCCATGAATATGACTAGTAATCAATCCCAATGAGTGTTGAATAAATATCCACTGTGAACAATTGTCAATATGATACTTGGATTCCCAGAAAAAACAACAACAACAGATATTCGCCTAATTCAAAGCCGCTTCATATGTTTAAAAACAGAGCACAACGTTCAAATGTTAAATAGTAGAGAGTTTAAGAAGAAGTAATATGAAAAATAGGTCCAATCATGAACAAGTTTGATCGCTTAAATACATTTTGTGCAGGTGTTCAAAACTCCCAGGCGTTTATAACATATTCTAAACCTCGGCTTTTAAACAGAAAAGCTTTTAGGTGAGCTGTAAGTACAAATGCCGAAATTTAACAAACCATATACGGAAAAAAGGTTTTCTTCCTTATTAATTGGGGTTTGATCTCCGGCCGACGAGGCACTCCTTTACCTCGCTAAGCCAAAAATAATACTGGTAAAGAGGAAAGGTTGGGCATGAGGCTAGCAACCCCATCCTGTAAAATAAACACTGCTACAGAAACTTCAAGCTAGAGGCTTGAAGCCTTATGTTCCACTGGGGAACGTGGAGGAAAAAAAACATGTAAACAATAAATCACACTACACCAGTTAACAACATCAATGGTGTTTTCAAAATTACAAATTTGAGACTAAACAGCATTTCATTGAGGTAACATCCCTATGGACTTTTCAACAGAATGCCCTAACCTAAATAGTGAAATACCTATTAAGCAAAATCAATAACTGATTCATTTCTACTCATGACGTTGCAAATTCTGTTTCGATCCTTTCAGTAACGTTTTGGTATTAGGCTTTTTGTATAGAGAGATTTAGTTCATTAGTTTAAGTTCTCAACTCACAGCTTCTGTGTGCAAGGTTTGAGACCTGGTTTACCTACTTCAGCCTGGGATGTCAAGCAGTATTATTAGTTCTCACAAAGTACATGTGGCTGATAAGCTTCTATATGAGAAATCTGTTCAGGATAGCCGAGTTCCAACTGATGTATTAAGCTTCGGAAAAATGGGTTTGTGTTCTTTTCCAAGCAAACTGGCCCATGTTATAATGAGTTGTAAAGTTGTACATATTCACCTTGTACGCAGTTGTAGCATTATAGCATAATACATATGGCAACTACTTGAAGTTCATTCACTACGGTTTACTTATCATACATTCTATAAACATATCTGAGTTACTTTGATTGGTAGGGAATCATGACTGAGAGTTTTTTTTTATTGTTGATTCTTTACATCTCGAGGATACAAATCAGAACACCGATAGTGGAACTTCAAAAAATCTTATCACATAAAGGTCTAGAAATCCTTAACTCCCATTGACCCAATTCTAGTACAGACAAAAGGAAGGTAGTCAACGGATGCGCCGAACGTTGTAGCTGTCGCAACAGACCAAGATTAGCAACTTTACCAACCAGCTTAACTTTCTTAATTCCTTCTTGATGCAATTTACTCAGCATAAGCAACATCACACAGAAACTAGCCGGAAAATATTATATTGAAATAGTGATAGAACCCTCCTCCGAGTATGTCCAACGAAGCAGTGAAATATGACTTTCAATGTGACTTGAATTTGCAGAACGGCTGCTTTATTCAAAACACAGTAATATACTAAGATGACCTTTGTGACGTACAATGTGGGCGATCTGGGCAAAGTGAATGCAGATCCTTAAGAATCCTATTTAGGAGAACCTCAAAGACAAGATTCCGAACCAATATATGTTTACACATAGATTTAAATTGAGCATAATAAACACTACATTAACTTTCTAATAGTTTGGTTTGTAAGGGTTAGTTTTGTTTGTTACGAGTTGATCAGGGGTTGATATCAGTTAGAGAACCATTGAAAACCACCAGGGAGTACTCGATAGCTGTTTCATCCTAGTTTGGTAATCATCGGCAGTACGCGCTCACTGGGGTTCAAACCCAAGCTCGTATACCTTGCCTTGTAGCCGGAAGGTCCTGGGTTCGAACCCCAGTGAGCGCGTACTGCCGATGATTACCAAACCAGGATGAAACAGCTATCGAGTACTCTCTGGTGGTTTTCAATGGTTCTCTAACTGATATCAATCCCTGATCAACTCATAACTACATTAACTTCTGATTATCTACAAATCTAATTGTCAAAATAAGAACAAAGAGAATAACAATAAATGAGTTTCTGAGCTAACCTGATGTGATTTTAGGTCGCGACAAAAAAGGCGTGACCCGTGAATTAAGTTTTTGAATTGTATGAATAGTAGTCATCACTGCTTGGCTATCACTGCAACTGGATTGGGTATTTAATCCTGGTAAGATATCATGGTTGATAAGTGTAACCAAAGGATGAGCGAGAAACTTTTTCTTGACTGCCTCTACATCCCACTTATTATTGTGCAGTAATAAACGAGCTATTGCTGGGGGCACCTGAAATTGTTTAAATATAACACACAATGTTAAGCAATAATACAGTTGAAAATTAGTTGACGTATAAAGAATTATAAAGTAGAAATCCGGATGAATTGTCTCAATGTCCCATTCAACAACATTCTGGTCACTCTGTGAGCTTAACGCGTTTTAAAAATCACCTTTCAAGATATTATATATATATATATATATATATATATATATATATATATATATATATATATATATTTATTTATAGTGTACATACTACAATTCACTTCCTCATGAGAATTTGTTGAAAATAAGGACAAAGATAATAAGCGGAAAATTTGTTTACATACGCATATGACTTTTTAAAAGTCGAATATATCAAGTTACCTGGTTAGTTGGCAGTGGATCACACGAAATCACTTTGATGAATTATTCAATCAGTTAACTGTTTTGCTTTCGACCAGTGAAATCAGTAAACATTTAAAGTCTATAGAACACCGAACTGCAACAACTGCGTTCAGGAACAATGTAAACATCGTTATATCAAGATCAGGTGGTAAAGGCTTACGTTGTAACGCTACACAATGAAAATGACAATCACACTGAAGACAACAAATTCGGTAGAAAGGAAGGCTACAAAAGCTCAGAAAGGAATTATTAAAAAAAAAGACGGTTGCAGTGAAGAAAATTTTCTTTTCGACGAAGTCATCAACTAGGCTGTACATTCGTGTATTTATAACAAATGGGTGGGAAAGTTCCAGAATAACTTCCGGCCAAAAGTCAAATTAATAAAATTGCAATTAGGAATTAAAATGCCACAATAAACAGGCTGATGGATAAAACTCAAACAAAGTAGCATCATAATTACTGAGATGATTGGCATATTGTACAATTGGGGGTTAGAAATGCAGAAATAATAAAATGACAAAACAGACAGGAAGTCCGGGTATGAAAATATGGCAGTGTAAACAGGGATTAAGAAAAACTTCTTTTAGATACATAGCGTGGGTTTGAACTTTTGGATAGCTACTGCCTCGGCTATGCCCAGATGTCTTAATTTCACTCCCTTTGATAGGTTTGAACGAATCTTTTATATAGCCAAGGCACTAGCTTTCCAAAAGGTCAATTCCACGCTATGTACAAAAAAGAAATAGATCCAACCTCTGTCCCTGCCATGACCATCATAAACAGGTAATTCTTTTAATAATGACCATTCCATCGCTTTTCTTATTTAAATTTCCTGTTTATTCATGTTATTTAAGTTTTTCTTAATCCCTGTTTACACTGCCATATTTTCATACCCGAACTTCCTGTCTGTTTTGTCATTTTATTATTTCTGCATTTCTAACCCCCAATTGTACAATATGCCAATCATCTCAGTAATTATGATGCTACTTTGTTTGAGTTTTATCCATCAGCCTGTTTATTATGGCATTTTAATTCCTAATTGTAATTTTATTAATTTGACTTTTGGCCGGAAGTTATTCTGGAACTTTCCCACCCATTTGTTATAAATACACGAATGTACAGCCTAGTTGATGACTTCGTCGAAAAGGAAATTTTCTGCGCTGCAACCGTCTTTTTAATAAAACCTTTTTTACTACATATTTCTTCAAGTCTTCGTTTGTAGAGATCTGACTGACTGCAAATTAGATTACGACCGTACTTTAGCATATACATGCTTCATCGAAGATGCACTGACAGAATATTCACTTACGTTGTACACTATCAATAATTGAGATACATACGGTTGCCTATACTGGTCCATTAAAAACTCTGAGCGTGTTCGCCAACGACAAGGAAAATTAACTGTACCATGAAATAAACTTATCGTATTAATGATACAGACTCTTCTACATAAATCTTACTTTATTATCTATCAATACACCTACCTTCTTTAACTATGAACAATGGAATTCAAACAGCTGTTTTTTACTGTGCACATTGATCTTTAACAACGATTTGAAGACCGCCTTGAATCTGCTTGCGAATTTCAATAATGTGTATTTAAAAAAATTAGTTTCACTGAAGAACACAAAAAGGGTAACCAATTCAACGTAGACGTGATATCCAGCTGGCTATCGACCAAAGCGCGGGTGTACTGCTCATCAGTCCGCTCCGTCCCCCATTATGGCTGTGAGCGAGACATGGCCATTGAGAGTGGAAGACATGAAAAGGGTGGCTAGCTGTCTTTGGTCATAGGTGCCTGCTCTCTATCTCCTCTGTGAAGTGGTATAATAAGGTGAGCAATATTGAGGTTAGGCATCCGTCGAGTGCTAGGTAAGTAGGGGAAAACAATCGTCGAGGGTGTGAAGCTACATCGACTCAGATGGTTAGCCCATGTGTTACGCATTCCTGCCTAGTCATCGCCTTCTTCGACAATGGGCAATGTCAGCTGACATAGGGTCAGGCTGGAAAAGAGCTAGCGGCGGTCAAGCCAAAACATGGCACCAGTCAATGAAATCTACAACAGTTGGTTTAAGCCAGTTACGTAGGAAGGTGTAGACCTCCTGGTTGGGGTCCTCGGGACGGTAAAAACCAATGAAGGCTGGAAACAACCGGTGAATGGCTCAAAATCGTTCTCAGTGGCTGGCACAGATGCGTCCGCTTCTTGTGACTTATGATTTCCAGTGAAACTATATTATTCTTCGTTACTACTATTCCTTTGTGTCATATCCCTGTTTACTGTCTGTATTTTGCATTTCTTCTACTTTCTTCTCTTGGTTTGTGTGCTACATGGAGTGTGGCGACTCGAACTTCCGCACATATGTGCAAAGTTCTATGTTGAAAACAGACAGATAGAAGACAATTCAACTTTCCTGATATCAATAGCCACCGGAAAAATAGCAAGCGCTTGAACAACATCTCCAAAGACTGTACCTGTTTTTAATAGCTTTTCATCGGTTCGTTATATGAACGAGTGTCGATCAGAATGCCGTTCTTTTCGACATATAAAAATAATTACAGCAGGTAATTTAGTTCGCTAGAACTCATTTACCCTGTACATGCCAATGAACTACTCCTGTTGTGTAACTGCTGACGAAACTAACTACCTGCCAAGAAACGAATTCTGAATTCAGGCTGGAAGCGAAATACTTCAGCAATTAAATAACACATCCGGAAAAACAGTCTTCATCTCGACTTACCATGCACAAACGTTAATTTCGTTCAAATTCCTGCATAGTCGAGAAATCAATATCACATATTTCCTCCACAAACGTTATCTGAAACTGTGTTTATCAATTCACATTTGCGTCTCAGCGAATCATTACAATGAAAATAGACGAAACAGCGGGTCTCAAAATTTCTAGATGAATTTCAGAAACCAATTGACCTGAGGCATTGTGGTATTCGTTGTTTGTTGTATTCGCTCTTGTAATCACTAGTTTCCACCTCCATTTATGATGTGAAAATTTTACCGAATGTCATTTTCCAAATTATCACATATCCAAACATAATAGGATCAATGGGGATCTATGCAGCATAACCCGACCGAAGGCTGCTACCTTGACGTGGTGGTCGGGCTTGAACACCGCAATGACCTAATCAAGCTATACTGGCTGAGACTTATGTCTCTTGAGGTCCTACCATGCCATAAAGGTTGTTTGGATAGCAGTTAGACAAAAAGCAGCTACCCAATCCAACACTATGATACATACAAACTCACAAAATATCATGCCGGATCGGCCGGGGCCCGGATTAACAACGACCGCACTTCCTGCTGCCGTGTCACAGGGCAGGAGTGATAAATATGCTACTGAGACACACAAAACAATAAAGAACAAACAAAAACAGGCCGCGTGTGACCGGCCTCAAGCAGTTGTCCCCTGGGCTCTGCGGTCACGCAACCAACTTCCACGGTGTGGGCAGCCGGGAAGTAACAATCCCCCTCACAATCCAAAATGCACACGAAACCTCTCTAATCCTCACTCATCTTTGTCTTCATCTTCATCTCTATTATCTTGCCTTCCTTCCACTGATGCAACTCCTCTACTTGATGGCTCCTCACTTCCTCTCCACTCTGTGTCCACTAAAAGCGACGGAAGCCAAAAAACCACCACCGATAGTCTCTTAAAGCCTCGCCACCAATTTCATATAGGAGCATTTAATGTTAGGACACTTTGCCAAATAGGACAACAAGCATCACTAGCCAAGACCCTGGCATCCGAGCCATTGATGTATGTTGTGTTTCAGAAACACGCATACAAGACCCAAGTGTGGTTATTCACCTAACCCCACCTGGCCAACAGGATGAATCTGCAAAATTCACCTTGAGGGTGTCAGGAGATGCCACAGCTAGTTCACGAGGATTAGCTGGCGTAGGGATAGCTTTGAGTACTAGGGCAGAAAAGACATTGCTTGACTGGATCCCGGTAGATAGCCGAATGTGTGCTGTCCGTCTGAACGGATCAGTAAAAAGGAGAAAGGACTGCACTACTCGCCGATGCCTTTTCGTAATCTCCGCCTACGCCCCCACTGACTGCAGTTCAGATGAAACGAAGGATGAGTTCTACCAAAAGCTGTCTAGTTTGGTGCGAAAGGCTAAACGCTCAGATATAGTCGTTCTAGCTGGTGACTTTAACGCTCAAGTAGGGAAATTGTGTCAATCTGAGAAGGATGTCGGTGGCACCTATGGAGTTCCGTGCCAGCGAACCGACAACGGTGACCGTCTCCTACAGTTCTGTTCAGATAATCATTTGTTTCTTGTAAGCACTAACTTCAAACACAAGGAGAGACACTGTTTGACCTGGCGACCCCTTCATCAAACCAACGCTGGACACAAATAGACCACATAGCAATAAGCTATCGTTGGCGTGGGTCGGTAGGAGATTGTCGCTCCTTCTGGAACACGTGTGTAGATACCGATCACGCACTGGTCCGCGCTCGTGTGTGCTTACGACTGAACGGACGTAGGAAACAGCTGGCGGTAAAACCATCACGTCCTCAGCTCGATCAGGAAACTAAATCCGTATTTGAGGAAGAACTAGCTAAACACATATCTGAGTTCGACAGCTGTGCTCACCCTGAAG